AATGCTCAAATATTACTTTACAAAAATGCAATTAAAATACATATTTTATACTAGTTAATGATTATACTGTGGAATGACTTAATACTCTTTCATGCATTCATCTTTTAGCAATTATATAATTTATATATAATTATTATAATTATATAATTTAGAGATTATTTTGGTCTAAAAATAAAATCCATGTTATGAAATTGACATGGTCACACACATTTACTCTTTTGTTTGTGCCTGGTGACGATCAATTGGCCTATACATTTAAACATCATCATTATCGCCAACTGAACATGTTCGTGGCAGTATGACTTTTCTTGGTTGTGCCTCTAGGTGCAGTTTTATGGATTATACAATTTTGTTTTAATGGGTTTAACGGGTCCCAAACCTGGAGTAATATACCAGTGTGTTAGTCAAGTGTAAGGAATGCATTTTTTTCATTTATTAAACCAGATACTAATGAGAACATTAAACAAGATGAATACGCATGACCACAGAGTATACTTAGGGCTGGTCATAGTTAGGAGGAGACTCCCTCTACATTATAGTGTTATGATGAATTGCAGTAACAAACAGCAATGTAAAGTTAGTTGTGTAACTGTAATTTTATGTAAACCGCTGCTCCTGCAATACTGCAATTTCTCTTTGGGTTTCTCTTTGGGGATGAATAAAGTATCTATCTATCTATCTATCTATCTATCTATCTATCTCTCTATCTATCTATCCTGATGTTATTATGTAATATGTCTCCAGAGAAGGAAAATTGAGACTAGGATGTCTCAGTACTAAAAGTAATGTAATGTGGCCATTTAAACTGTCATTGTTTCAATAGAAACAACAGAATATGTAGTTTAAAGTTTTGTGCTTCTATATCTGGATAATTAAGAAGCAGTCCTCCTGCCAGAGCTGAGTAACCTGCACCAGGCCTGTCCCGGTGGTGAGGTGTCAGGCTGACACATTCATTCAAACGATGCAAACGATCAGGAGCAACGTTGTAGCATTTTCATTACACAATCAACCACCCGGTAAGTCACTCACCAGCCATCGCACCACACCCGGATTCTTCGCCTCCTCTTCTCCGGACTGCAGGCTGCAGTGCCGGGGGTCGTCCCTGCGTCTTTCCCGGCTGCTGTGTTCACTTGGTGGTGGTGATGCCCGTTCTTGATCATCTTGAAGCTTGGGTGAGTATAATCTCCAAATTGCTACAGAGGGACTCCTTCCAAAATGAGATGAGGTGAACGGGCCGTGTCGGTGTGTGTTCTCCCTTTCAGTGCAGGACAGCCGGTTTCTGTGTCAGCAGCAGCAGCAGCAGCAGCACGAGCGACAGCAGCAGTAGTGCGATGCGCCAACGCCTCCTCCACCGGCGACGCAGCGACGTCGCACGTCAAGTCGGCCAAAGAAAGAGGAGAAACCACGTAGGAAAGGCGCACTGTTCATAAAACCCCATGCAACGCGTCTTTGTTATCAGTGGTTTTATTTTGAAAACCCCAAACGGGAAGATGTGTGTTTACTGTGGTTGCCTTGACACAGGTTGAATCGTACGATGAAGCGCCGCAGCCGACATGTTGTTACATAATAGTGGCGTTTTCCACTGTCATGTGACAATATCTGGATTCCCACAGAAATAGCAGGCTATCTGCCTAAGCTGTCTTTGATGACGCGCCAGTTTGTGTCTGTACATTCACTTCAATTTGCTGCAAGTTATCTCTGTAAAATATCAACCACAATGGAGATACGAACGCTGTACATCCTATTTGATATTGTCTTGGATTGCTTAAATAATAATTGCAATCCACCCGTAGTACATCTTCATCTTAGTAAAGATTGTACTGTTCAATTTTTGTGGACACTCTTGTCAGAGTGTTCCCTGTGATCGTTTAGTGGTGTGGTGTATTGACTGTGCTATAATTGAAATGTGTGTGTAATCTATAGTAGGCTAAAACATGACTAACGCACATGCCAGTGTCAACAAAATCTGAACTCACAAAGATTCACTGCATTGTTGTTTGTACAGGTGTCCCTAATATTATAGCTTGTATACAGCAGTGATGTAAGTACTGCTCAAGTACTGTAGTTAAGTACAACTGTGAGGTAGGCTACTTCAATTGAGTATTTCCATTTTCTGCTATTTTAAACTTCTATTTCACTGCATTTTAGAGGCAAATGTACATTTTACTTCACTACATTAGCTTATTTAAGATTTAGTTACTTACATAGCAGATTTAGATTATTACAGCCAGACACTACAGGGGAATGGGATACAACATTTTAACTAATAGATGTCACTATGAAACTTCCCTAATTGATTATTTACATTAAGATAATTGTTTTATGTTTAAATATGCAAATGAGGCATTATCTAATGCTAACTTTTGGTGTATTTAGGAGAAATCTACAAACGCACATTGTTGAAAAAAATTTTAGGAAAGTGTAGTATTTTGGGAGTTTTCAATCTAATCTGAAAGAACACATGTTTTGGAAGAAAACTAGCCCAAAATCTCAAACACATTTCCTGGACACATGAATGGATCGATAATTGTAATTCAGTGATATAATACATTACTGTGCAAAAAAATGCTGTAAAGTAAGAATGCTTTCAAAATAGACATAATAACACATTATATTTATCATTAACAAAATGCAAAACAGAAGAAAGATCTAAATCAAATCAATATTTGGTGTGACCACCCTTTGCCTTCAAGATAACATCAGTTCTTCTAGGTAGGCAAATCGTCAGGTGTGTGATCAAACAAGTATACCAAACAAGTACTAATGATCATGAATTCAATATGTAGACACAGTAGTTGGAATTTGAAATATTTGGCACAAGGAAATTTGTTTGCCAAAGGACTGGAGAGCGGTACAAGAATGACTGAGTGTCTGCAGGCAACAATGAAGCATGGTGAACGTTCCTTGCAGTTTGGGGCTGCATTTCTGCAGATGGAGTTGGGGATTTGGTCAGAGTGAACGGTCTCCTCAATGCTGAGAAGTACAGGCAGATATTGATTCGTCATGCAGAACCATCAGGGAGGAATCTGATTGGCCCCAAATTTATTCTGCAGAATGATAAGAACCCCAAACATACAACCAAAGCCATTAAGACCTATCTTTAGCGTAAAGAAGAACAAGGAGTCCTGGAAATTATGGTTTGGCCACCATAGAGCCCTGATCTCAACATCATCGCTTCTGGGATGACATGAAGCGAGAGAAGCAACTGGGGCTGCCTAAATCCACAGAATGTTGGGTAGTTCTCCAAGATGTTTAGGCCAACCTACCTGCTGAGTTCAAAAACAGCTGTTCTGAAGGCAAATGGTGGTCACACCAAATATTGATTTGATTTAGATTTTTCTTATGTTCACTCACTTTGCATTTTGTTAATTGATAAATAGAATTTTAAAGCATTATTACTTCACAGCATCTTTTCCACACACAGTGCGGTATATTAATCTAAAATTGGGCCATTCTGCATAATGAATACTTTCACTTTAGGCACTTTAAGTACATTTTGATATAAATACTTTAAATCTTATACTTAAGTAACATTTTGAATGCAGGACTTTTACTTGTAATATTAACCTACCCTGGAGTAATTCTGGGAATGAGAATTACAATTGCTGATAGGTTTGGGGAATATTGCAGACTTTCAGACACCAAGTGGGCTTTTCTGTTTGATACAATAAAAATGTGCACTGTAGGGGAAATCCTTCTGTTAAGACAATGTGGCGTCATCTTGTGGGGGGAAAAAAACCTGTTAAATCACACAAAGTCTTTACACAGAAGTGCCAGCAGAGGGAAACCCAGACCCACATATGGCTACGCTGGGGCCAGGTTAACTTTTCTCAAGCTGTAATATTTAGTATCCTGGTACCTGTAGTCTTGTCTCTCCTCCTTTATCTGGCAGGGATGCACATTGGCTCTTTCTTGTTGCTGGGATAGCACTATCTGAAAAAATCATGCTGTTTAATATGGTGATAAGAGTTTGGTTTGCTCCCTCATTGTGCACCATCACAACAGCTTCAAGCGATTCAAATAATTGCTGATGTGAACAAGAAGAAACACACACACTTCTAGGCTAGTATCTTTCACATAAACATGCATGTCCTCTGCTATTGGTGACATTTGCGGAGAGGAGCCCCCTCATGCCAAGCTTTTGGCAAGGCAGGGACGTGCTAAATGAACGGCCTTGCTGACGGGGAATGGCAACATTAATTGTACAGCGGGGCTGTGGTCGGAGAACTGGGGCAGGCACCTGCTGCCGAAGTGGGTGAAGATGAAGAATGCTGTCCTAGATTGCCCACCAGCTCACCTTAACCCAACCCGCCGAATTAATCAACTCTTCAGAGGCCATCGGGTTTGTCTGGGGCAGGCATCTGAGGAGGGAGGGGAGTCTGTTTTAAGGCACAGGTCACACAGACCTGTAGGAGCTTCCTCCATTTAAGAGAAGAACAGTGCGCGCTGCAGTGTTGCAGATGCACTGGGGTTTAGTATTGCCCTGCAGGACTGAGTGGTAAGATGTAGCTTGTCTTCAGCCATCTGTCTCTTTGTCTCTGCATGTTCTCTCAGGAGATGCGTTGTGAACGTGCTGGGGTTGAGACGCTGCTGAGGAGGGTGATGTTTGATGAGGTGCGCTGAGACGGAGAGGGGGGGGGGGGCGTTTTAGGAGGCCCATGGGGAGCACAGATGACTAACTCACTACTCTTCCTAATCTAGGACAAGCACACCTAGACATCCTTCATGACTCTAATGTTTTACTCGTGTCGGGCCAAAAATATGTCCACCGAGGTTAGCCAAAGTGGGTCGCCCAACGGCTTTTTTTGGATCACAGAAAAAGAAATCGTGCCATCTAAATGATCGCTGTCTTCTAAAACCCACCCTGGACGGCAAAAAGCCTTCCCCGCCAGTTTATTTTTACAAGTATCAAAGTGGGTCAATGACGCCACAGAATATGACAAAAACCCAATTTCAACAGTGTTTAAAAGCCTCCAAAGACAGAGTGGTAGTGCTTAAAATCCTTTTCCAAACATTTTTATTGGTCTTATAGAAAATAAAGTAAGCTGTATCAACAAACATACAATATATACATCAATAACTTAGACACCTCAGAGAATCACGTTTAAATCCACAGTTGTTACTGTATATATGAATACATAGTACTTATCTACAGATTGCAAAAAGTACAATAATTTAATTTATAAATAGTTACAATTAACTATTGTCTGTTTTCCATACAAAGTACTGCAATATTTTATTACAACCCATACAGAAAAATAACAAAAACAGATTATTTACTTTGTATTACTTTGCTTTAGTCAGATTTTTATACCTTTGAAACACAGAGGAAAAAACCTGCACTGTCAACTTGTTTACAAAGCATAATTTCATGAAAAAAGCCAACTTCTTGAGAGCTATCAAATTCAACTGCCACACAAGTGCTGTTATGTACCCTCTCTAAAAAACATACAAAGAAAGAAAGAAAAATAAAAAAAGCCATAACCAATTAAAAATTAAATCTGCAGAACAAATTACAGTGTTAAGATCAATTTCAAATACACACCCAACACATGATGAGAACAGAAATGCTGTGGATGATGCGACAGCAAACAACGAGCATTAATGACTGGTGTAGCAGCAGAGGAACCTCAAACGTACAAAACACGCACGCGCGCACAAACAGGCATACCAAAGAAAACTAAATATTGCAAGTGGCCCTTGTGACAGAATCTATTGTAGCATCCATTTCACTCAACAAACATTTATATAATAGCAATATCTTTCAGTCAGATATCCAAAACCCAAATTATGGATCAGGTAATTCAGCTAATTTAAGACCAGAGTAATTAGTAAGTAAGGCTTGAGTGCAACTGTCCCACGATTCCTTTTAAAACACTGTACACCGTTACAGTTTTAACATGTTAGCTCGTATAAACAAGGGCCAATTGCTTTTCCATTTAGGGATTTCAAAATCTGAGGGCAAAAAAAAACACATTTAAAAAAAAAAATTAAAACTACAAAACAGCAAGAAGAATGAGTCAATAACAGACTATAGTCACTTTGACAATATTGATTACTCTTACATCTACTCTTTCACACCTTTCCACTGAGTTGCATATTAAGGGTCACTTTTTCACAATGGTCATTAATACCTACTGTAGCTACATATTATACACCTGTAATGTGTGAGAAAGAGACTCGTCATCTCTAGCGGAGATTGAGAGATTGGTCGACGGTGCCACTCGAACACCTTTTTAAAAAGACACTTGACACGAAAAAAGATTCACTCCACAAGACTGCCACAGCAATAAGGACGCCAACATCAATACTGGGCTATGTCAAGAGTCAAGATATATATTTTTCCCACAGTTAACCAGTCAATGTAGATAGCGAAGCGTGTTGACAAAGTGAGGAGAGGACAGTATAACCAGCACCCAGGACTCCGGCATGGAGTTTTGCTGAGGCGTCATTTTGAGACTTGACTGTGGACACTAGAAGACATTCTGACCAGCAGGAGAGTGAGATCTGGATGAAGTGCATTCTGATAATGTCTTTACGCAACTACTTTCACCTTGAGGTGTATAACTCCTTCACTGTTAAAATTCCTTTTAGAGGCCCAGGAGTGTTATGCGACACTTGGCACTGAAGGAGCGCTGCTGGCAGCTGCTGTTGATTGTAATTCTACGTGGTGGTGCTGTGTCTCTTTCTGAGTGTGGATTGAAGCCCTTTATGACATGCTTATTATAAAAATAAAATAAAAAAAACTTTGAAGAGAGAAAAGAAAAAAAACGAATAGAGCTGCCATCCCCTGCCTCCCCCTCTTCTTACCTAGAATGGTTTGTTCATTTTTTAGAGTGACCTGTTTTGTCCTGAGCAAAACAAGCAGGAGCTTAGTGCATACAAAACCTCAGCCGAAACCCTACCGCTTTTAATCTGAAAATCTGAAGACCAGTGGGTGAGTGATGCTGCACCATTTGGCGGTTGCCTTTTTAAGTTCATTGATGCAATATTATTGTTTATGTAGAAGTGATGATCACAGGTAATCTGTAAAATTGTTCTGTTAAATTCACATTTAGTCTGTCGAAAGGGTTATTCCTATCTATTCCTGCGATCTAATTCAGACCAATTAAATAGCTGGAACGAATACAATAATGAAATCTTCCCAACAAGGTCGTCAGTTACTTTCAGGTTACAGAGGATGTATTCAAAGGGCATCCAGCACCAGGCAACCATTACTTGGATTCTGCAATGACAGTGTCACTTTAAGAAGCTTCAGGTTAAAAAGTCTTTTGAGTTAATGTTCACTAACGCCACTTCGCCCAATTCTGTCTTTCCATGGCTCAACGTGGTAAACTCTCAATGACAATATGATTTGTAACTAACACCAAGGAAGCGGAGGATATCACAGATGCCAATACGCACAAAGACAATTGACCTTGTTTACACCACCTAGTTTAGCTCTACAGATTTGTTTTAAATAGCACAGCATTGACATCTATACAGTGAACGACACTGCCAACTTGTCACTTACACGTCACATCACGCGCTACCCCACAGTACGCGCCTAGTCACTAGAAAAAAGCTATCAGACTTCAATAGTAAGCCACTTTCGGTACAATTGCAAAAAAGATGTCACAGGATTTTTTTTGTTTGTTTGTTTGTTTTCTTCATCTGTATTTCTATAAACAATGGAAGGTAATCTACCTAGTAATAAAAACCAAGAACTCAACATTAGACAAAGTTTTCTACACCTTAACAATTCAAACAGTAAAGCTTGTGTAAAGATTTTTCTTTTGGAAATATCTGACGGCCCTGTCAACAAGTAATTACAAAAAAATGTAATATATATTTTTTAAACAAAACGACTTGAACATATTTTTTCTCTATGAGCAAAAAATGATGTTTCAAAATGCTTGTGGATTTCACTGTCCCCACAAAACACGAGGATATTACTGTTATAACATTCAGGTTTTCAGATATCTTAGAAGAATCTTGTCATATTGGAATGGCACTCAGCTCCGGAACAATATCATTGTTTCATTCAAGAGCTGCTGATCACTTTTAACGCTTCCACTTAAACCATAAATATGCAAGACCTCTTTGTATTTTCAGTGCATACATATATTATTGCATCTACCAGTCATGTTGATAATGACAAGTTCATTAAAGCCTGTCACCGACACATAAACAGAAATAAATGCTAGATTCGGCAGCATTCTTTCATGCTTATATTCCTGACAGACGACCAACAGAAATCACAAATTTGACTCATTTTCTAGTTTTGGGTTAGTCAGGCTGTTTTGAAGACATCTGTAGCATCCACACCAAGAGTTTGTGACCATTTGTTATCCATCCCAATTTCAGTCAGTGCATAATAACAAGCAAAGGGGGTAATAGTGATTGTGTTGTGGAATGGGCGAGTCTGTAATTTATTATTTTACTGGTTGTGATAAGTTGTGAGACTTCACAAATGCCAATTCGTAGGACGGAAAAAAACTTAAGAGCTCACTCTTAAAGAAACAGACACATCACATTGTATACCTTATCAAAAAATCAGCAACCTATTAACAGTCTGAATTTGTCACTTGTACCCAGTATTAAATGAAATGTTTCAGTATTGCCAATGTTCTTCAAAAACCAACTGTGATCTCCTACATCGCACAATTTGATTGTGTCACCCTAAAGCACAATTTGTCTGTTGACAGGCACAGACTGCTGAGTCATACTTTGAGAGTGATTTTGGGAAGCATATTGTTAGTGTTTGTGATCGGGGGTTAAAACTGAGAACTTCCACAGGTAATCCTGCGCCATGTTACAATGCACTGACTAGTCTTGAAAAACTTCATTCTGCCCTTTTCTGCTACTACGACCTAGCCTCCGTTTTGGATTTGACGATGGTGATGACGCTGGTGGCAGCTACTTTACCAGGGATGAGGGGCCCTATGACAGACGCCATAGGTCCCCTGGCAGAGGTGACGGGGTTGCGGGCTACAGTCCTGGCAAAGCTCTGGAGGGCCTCGTACTTTGAACGCAAAGCATCCAGCTCCACCTTCATACTGGCATTCTCTGTGGCCAGCTTGTCCACTTCCTGCTGCAGCTGAGCCTTTTGCTTCTCCAGCTCCTCTTTCTGGGTGACACGCTTCACCCGGCAGCTGGCGGCGTAGCCCCGGTTCTTCAGGGTACGTCGCCGCTGCTTCAGCTGAAGGATCTCCTCCTTCGTGAGGCCCCGTAGATGCTGGTTCAGCTCCCGCACAGACATGGTCACCAGCTCGTCATCGGTCAGGCTGGTGCCATTTTCTCCTGGCTCCCGCTTCACCTGGGGATGAGGATTAGTTATTGTTGATCTTTACATTGGTATACACAATTATTTATACTTTGACAAAATTCTATTCTGCGTCATACATGCAAATCACCTTCAAGGCCTTGTTTCCCTTGTTTGTGGTAGTCATGCCACAAGAGCCGCGTCCACTTGTACTGCTGGTCGGTCTGTGGGTAAGAAAAGTCGCCATCAGTATATAGAACAATACCAGCAGAGAAAAGCTTGGAGGAAGAACATTTCTGTGAAATAAGCAATAATGTAGTTCTGGCAAACAAGCTACAGCATGACTAAGTCCTTCAAAAAACACAAGGCACAAAGTGGGTCAAGGACTTCACACTTCTTTGTAAGCGATGCCAAGTCCCTTGAGTGAGTGATACCTGGACTATTACTGCACCTGTCACTGGGAACAAATTGGTGGTATGTGTCTTGGTGGTATATATTCCGCCTCCCCCCTCCAATATACTCTAACAACTCTCACTTGAATTCTGCAGTGCATTCAAACTGTGGCATGGCAAGTCACAAGGAGGATGACATTTAGTTGGCTGGCAGCAATTCTAAATGATTTCTTGGAAAACAAAACTCGTGAGAAGTCACTTTCGTTAAGTGCAGCCTCTGAGAGCAGCAGCAGCAGATGACGCGTGGTGGACTAAAACAAAGCCTTTCAGCCTTCCTACTGTGCATAAGACCTCAGCTTAAATATACTCACAGAGGGGACGCAGCTTTCATCTACTGTACCAGCTATTCCCGTCTAGACACTCACACCTGTCTGCTAGATTTGGCCAGTGTGCCACTACAATCCCATAAATCAATGAATAAGGGATGTTCGCTGTAACTACTGCAGCCACCATCCAGAGTAACCGGGCTGCACCGCAGTTGATTCTGTCACATCAGTACTGAGGGAACACCAAGAGAAGCTGTGGAGGTGAAAAATCTAACCAACTGGTTTTAAAACAGACAGAAGGTTTGGTGCCTTCTACCCCTACCGTGCGAGCTCTGTCACAGGATAAGTTTGCACACGCACACACACACACACACACACACACACAGTTGTGGCCCTGGGTGCTTTACACTACACACGGTAAATGCTGTGTCAGCGACACAGGCACCCGCCACAGTCAGCCCAGCCAGCCCTGCCAGCCCATTGCCACTGTAAGCTGATTTACACAGCCCAGCAGTGTTTCTGCTGAGCACATAAACAAATGCATGTGGGCTCTTACAACTTTTTCAGCATCAAAACAGGAAACAAAAGACCCCCCCCCCATCCCCCCCAAAAAATTCCTAAAAAGAACTACTGTCAGTGTGTGTGCATGTGTTTACAGCCTACACACCCACTAAGCTACTCATCATGTATATGCATGATGTGTGCAGAGAACCTCGGAGAGGAAAGAAAAAAAAACAAAAACAAAAACAGAAAAGAAAGGAAGAGATGAATCGTAGCTCTGAAGTGCACTAAGATGGCCAGGATATCTCCATGGCAACAAAAGGGTGCTACAGGTGGACCGGTCACCTGAGCCAAACAGGGACAGACAGACGCTTGTTAAAAATGACCTGAATACGACACTATCACACAGGCTGGGGACATAACATGAGGTCAGGCTGTGACTCGCATTCTTGATGCTTTCACTTGAAAAAGTCCTTTGGCTCCTCATAAAACGGCAATGTTTCCCTGTGCTGCAGATGCCCATATAAAAATTAAAAAAAAACCTTTCACAATTCTGCAGAGGACTTTTTAAATTTGATACTTTCATCCCTGTTGGGCTGGCTATGAATAGCTGACTGATAGTAACACCTACCTTTCACCGGCCTTTGTGGTGACTCATTTCCAGTAAGCATTTGGACCACAGATGCAAAACATAATGGGATAATGGTCTGCCTGATGATGCACAGATAATGGACAAATAGATGGGAAAGTACTCCACTAATAGCTACTGGGATGAGAACAGGAAAAAAAAAAGGCAGCGTCTTCCAAATTTCATATAAGCCTATCATTTTCCTCTCAGCCGCCTAGACCCAACATTGTTCAAAAAAAACAGTCAGTCTTGAAAATGCAGAGAGATGGCACATTGTCCGAGGCTGAAGAGGCATATTCTGCCACACAGCTGTGTAGGGAAACATAGCAGGCATGGCCTGGCACGGCTGAAAGCTCACCATATGACACAGTGGAAGGGCTGCGCCCAGGCTGCAGCCCTCCAGCACCGGCTGCTGCCAACAGACGGCTACCAATGACAGGGCATGGCAGTGCAACACAGACAAGGTCCAATGCACAGCTGCTCTCTTCCACTACCAGGCATGTCATACCTCACACAGACAAAACAGGCATGCTCACCCAAACATGGAGGAAGGAAAAGAAAGGGAAAAACACACCTGTAATTTTCAAAAGAAAGGTGACAGGAAAAATTTAAGACTTGCAGCACTGATTTGATTGCAACAGAATGCCCATTTGACGTTCACCTACTTAACAGTGGCAATCGTGGACAGCAGACACCGGTGTCTCCCTCGCACACATGTATCACCCCCTTTTAATAATTTCAGGTCTTTTGTGTGTGCCTTAGCTTGGCTGTAGAGGTGGGAAGCAAGCACAGGGGACACGGATGTCTTTGTAGGTGCTTGCTGAATTTTTATGAATCGCCTGGAAGAACGCTGACAAATCAGAGCTGATTGCTTGTGGAGGAGAGACATCACACCCACAGGAAATAGAAATCGCTGAGTGTGGTCACCCAGAGAAAGGGAAGAAGGAGGGGATGGTGAGAGAGAGAGACGGACAGAGAGAGCGAGAGAGGGAAAAGAAGGTGAGAAGAAAAGAGAGAGAGAAAGAGAGAGCAACCAGCCTTCTGAAAAATGCACGCTCGACACATTTAGAGGATCTTGAGAAGAACAGGTTGAGGAGGGAAAAAAAAAGACAACAAAAAAAACCACTGATCTCAGCAAGGACCAAAACCAAGGTGCCAATTAGGAAGTTGTGAAGTTGAACTAACACGACGCGAGCAACCCAGCCAACCTTCAAAAGCTGTCTGTGTTCATCTAAATCTATAGAGGACAGCTCGCGAAGGTGGGGTCGGCTTAGGTTGAGACTTAAAGGGGGAGTGGGGGGTGGGATAAATGCTGATGTGACATGATAGGTCCGGCCTTGAGCCCGTGTCATGCTTTAATGATCTCATCCCCTCCAGAGGATCTCTCCATGGGGGCTGCCAAGGATGGACACCATTAGCTAGGGGACCATTGTTGAGGGGGGAACCGAGGCTACAGCATCCACGCACTGCGTCCCCCTGATGAATATTTATCACTCTGTCATTCGCTGCCTAAGGTGGGGGTGGGAAGCTGAATAAAGATGCTCAAGGGGGTAAATCTGCAAGGATACATCCATGGCTCTTCCATCAACGGCTGTCTCAAAATGGCGGTGGACTGGTGGGGGAGGCAAAGTGGGGAGGGGATTTCTGGTACTGGAGGTGGCATGCGTGGTGTTTCAGAGCTGCAGGGAGAGCCAGCTCCACTTGACAGCAGTGTAACAAGATTATCAGGGCCATAAGAGCAAACAAAAAACCCCAGCAACCTGCCTCAGAATCCAGATTACAACAGCGTTCGCTCTCTGAATACCAAACGTGGCTGGGGAGGACTGATGGGGGGGGGGGGAACGCAGACTTTGCTGAGACATGACAGTGGATTGCATATCGCGCAACTAATCACATGCACATGTATCCACGCGGAGACGGATCACCAAAACCCACACAAGCACATATAAATTTTACTTGTCATGATCAATTCTTGGAAAGAAAGCGTCCGAGCACTTGGCACTGGCAGCTTGCTAATGAAGAGAATAAAACTAGACAGTGGAGGTGCATGCTGATGAAAGCGCAGGCAGCGTCCAACAATGGCAACTCTAGGTCTGTGAAACTAACAGCTGAACATCATCTCACACCAAACAATGCATTTCACTCACGCACAATGCGGCTCGTTTTGCTCATATGACTAGTTTAAAATTTATTGACTTGTAGTGCAGCCAAGAGGAGAGACATAGGAAGCTACGGCCCAAAGGTAAATTTGGTTTTTAGACAATAGAATGGTTTAGCACCGTTTTCAACCCATTGTCTTTGCAAAAAACCTGCACATCTTAGACGATTAACACAACACAAAAGAAGCGAGCTGGATGTGAAGTCAGTATGATCACCTATTCAGTTTCCTTGATCAATAATGTATGAGACTTGTAGCCTCTCACTCCATTACCATGGACTCTCCATAGGAAATAGAAAGATGATAACCACAAAGATACTGAAAAGCACATGATAAGTGTGTGAAAAATTAATGTCAGCACTTTCTCATTATGCTTTGGCTCATTAAGTTGTGCTTTGTGCTTATTTGTTTTCTTGTCCACTTGCTTGATCAGGGTTGAGATGCTTAATGTAGCCAGCCAACCTTATCACCCTGTATGCCATATATAGCCATTCTCACCACTTAATGCCTGATCAGAGCTACTACTTTTACTCCCTCCCTTCTTCTAGTTCGGAGTTGAAAAGATTGCCTAGATATTCAGATCTAATCATTCCTCCCTTCAGCTGAGTGAAGTCTATTATCAAGTGAGGCTGCATGTGTTGGGCGCCATTTAACTGCAAATTAAAAATCAGACTCATCTGATAGCTCTGGAAGAGTTACTGGAAGACTGGCAGAAACTTGTGTATGGACAAAACAGTGTGCGAGTGCGTCTGTGAGAGAGAAAGGTACGATGGGAAGAGGGGAGGGAAGCTATTAACTACTAAGTATTCAGAGCGTGAAATAAGAGTGACAAAAAGTGGGAGAGGGGAAATCATTCAGCAGCTTTCAAAGGGAAATGTGATACGCTTGTAGTAGAGGGGGAAATACTAAGCCAATACGTTTGACCAGTGGAGGTTCAGGGCAATGCCAAAATAGCAGTTAACCAAAATCGTATGCCTGCCTTTTGGAAAGACTGTCCCCTAAAATAAATACAGTATGACTTTACTGCTGTGAGCAACTGTCTGTACGCTGTCCTACTATTGTTTTCACCTGAAAATGCTAGATGAATAGAGAGATGCTGAAGAGGACAGTTAATCAAAACGCTATAATCAAAATGAATAGAAATCAGAGAAGAAACCCCCCCCCCCCAACATTCTGAAAAGAAATTTGGGACTGATATTTTATCCAAAGATTTTTGTGC